TCGGGGTTGGGGATGCTCAGGGCAGGGGATGTTCTGAGGACAGTCGGGACCAGGGATGCTCGGGACAGGAGAGTCGGGGCAGGGGATGCTCTGAGGACAGTCGAGACCAGGGAAGCTTGGGGTGCAGGATGCTCAGGGCAGGGGATGCTCGGGGGACACTCGGGGCTGGGGATGCTCAGGGCAGGGGATGCCCTGAGGACAGTCAGGACTAGTGATGTCCAAGGCAGGAGATACTCTGGGGGCACTTACGGCCAGGGGTGCTCTAAGGACATTGAGCACTGGGGATGCTCTGAAGGTACTGAGGGCCAGGGATGCTCTGAGGACACTCAGTACTGAGGATGCTTGGGGAGGAGAATGTTCTGAAGACACTAAGTGCTGGGGATGCTCTGAGGACACCTGGGGCTGGGCACCACTCCTAGAACTTAAATTTTCCTGCTGTCCAGGTGAAAATTGCTGTGTTACTGTGATTGCACCAGTTTGGGGATGCCAGGGCTGGAGAAGGAATATGACTGGGGGAATTGGGCCCATGGGGTGGTCATGCCTGGCAGAGCCTTTGCTCATGGGCATGTTGGAGTGGGTCCTAACACAGGTTCCCCAGGTTGGTCCCCAACCCTCTGTCTGGTGCTGGTGAGGCTGGCTGGGTTCTCTGGGGATCTTGGGGGTGTTCTGCACCATTTTCCTGAGTGTGAACATCTTCAGGGTTCTGGCATGTGCTCTCCCACAGGCTCCCAAGGGGAAGCAGGACAGCATGCCCCCACACATCTGCTCACTGGCACACAGAGCCTACAGGAACCTGCTGATGCAGCGGCAGGACCAGGCCATCATCCCCCTGGGGCGCAGAGGGGCCGGGAGGACCAGTTGCTGCCAGAGTGCTCTGGAGTATCTGGTGGGCACAGCAGGCAGCGTGGATGGCAGGGTCTCAGGTATGTGGCTGGGGGTGCTGGGAGCCCCCACAGTGATGGTGCTGGGCACTGGGCAGAGGCAGCACGTGGGGACTGTGCAGACTGGGGGGCACACAAACTTGCAGGTGATGCTGTTTCCATTTGATGGCCTCTGTTTGCCCCTTTCCCAGTCTGTTTCATGCCCCTTGGGGTGGCTCCTGAGTGGCTGGTGTGGCTGTGAGTGCCACTGTCCCTGTCCCAGACCCAACAGATTTGCTCTTTTGATAAACACCAGCGTGAGTTCCAGGAGGGAATTACTCGAATCACTCCTGTGCTTGGGCCAGCACTTTCCCACCCGATCAGGTTACTGGTGACGTGGGAGGAAACTCTGCTCAGCAGTCAGTGGCTTTAGAGGGCAGGGTTGGGTTTCAGAGGTGTCTGAGTACACTGTGCTCTTGCAAAGGGTTGACCAATGGCCTGGGGCAGGGTGGAGGTGTGGACAGGCTGGCACTGTCCCTTCCCATCAATGTCCATGTGCTCCTGTGGTGTGGGATGCTGACTTCATGCCTGGCCAGTTCCCCAAGAGCTGGGACAGACCCCTGGGGAGGAGCAGATGAGGTGATCCAGGAGGAGAAGCCTCCTGCAGTGATGCAGGGGGCTCAGAGGGCTCTGGTGCTGGTTTTGCAGTGGAGAAGATCCAGGCGATGTACACGGTGCTGGGAGCCTTTGGGGCAGTGACCACCAGACACAGCAGCAGCTCCACACGCTTCTCCATGGTCCTGTCACTGGATTTCAGTGCCACTGGCCAGATCACTGCTGCTCACCTCCAGGTACCTGTCACCTGGGGAGGTGGGAGGGCTGGGCTGAAACTGGAGGTCCTTGGGATGGGGATGAACCTTCCCTGTGCTGCCCTTGCTGGCCAGGCTGGGCACAAGGAGTGATATTCTGCTCCCTGGTCCACTCCCTGCTCCTTCTGGACCAGAGGTGCCCAGATGGCACCTGAGCAGGAGCTCTGCCAGCAGTGTGGTGGTGACCCCCAGCCTATCCCTCTCCCTGGCAGTGAGCTTGGAGCAGTGCTGGGATGAAATGTTTATGAAGAAATGTATAATTCAGTGTTTCATTAGCAGCACCTCACATACTGCCTGGAGCAGAGGCCTCTCAGGGCTTATATCTCCATCAGGGCTCTTCTCAAAGGCCATGTGCTCTGTTCCCTCCCCAGACCTTGCTGCTGGAGAGAGCCCGTGTCACCCAGCAGCCTGATGGAGAGAGCAACTTCAACATCTTCCCCCTGATGCTGGCAGGGCTGGATGTGGCAGACAGGTGGGTGTGAGACTCCTGTGGCACCAGTGGCTCCACTGCCACCCTGGCTGCCCAGCTGGCAGGTACCCCCTGCCCAGGGGTTCTCCTTCCCTCTGTGTGGGGCAGCACCGTGGTGTCCTGTGTCATCCAGCTCCCATCCAGGAGGAAGGCAGGGATTGGGGGTGCTGGGGGCAGGCAGGAAGGGAGATTGACTCTCATTTTCTAACTGCTCCCAGGACGATGCTGCACCTGCACCAGGTGGCTGAGAGCAATTCCTTTGGGATCAAGCCATTCACAAAGGTAGGGAGAGAGAAATGCTGGAGCCTTGTGTCCACCTGCAGTGGGATCTTGCAGCACACCGTTTGTCACACTGATCAGAGGACACTTTGGGCTCTGTGGTTGCTGAGCACCTCAGGATTGTGCCACTGTACTAGGCATATGGAGGGAAGAAGCAAACAGCAGGGTGTGAGGAAGGGTCTGCCCAAACAGCTCCCAACACCTCTCTGACAGCCCAAGGGAGCAGAGGAGCTATCAGGACTGACTGGATTTCTAACACACTCCATCCACCCCTGGGATAGATCCTGCTGCTCTGGGTCTGGTCTGATGTTCCCCTGCAGCAGCAGCTCCTGGGGGCAGGTGCATCCTTTGGGGAGCCCAGACTGTAATTTTTAGGGGTGAAAAGCTCTGCAGCTGATTCCCAGCACCAGCCCCTCATTAGGCTGAGCCATTTGCAGAGCCCAGGCAGATTGTCCACGAGCCAAAGCTCTAGGATGAATTGCAGCAATTTGCAGTTACATCATCTATTGATGAATCCCGTATTCCATCTTCATTAGAAGCTCCTGCACTGGTCCAGCAGCCAGAGGAATGAGCTGCTGCTGCAGCAGCTCTGAGGAGGGCACAGTGAGGTCCTTTCTTTGCTGATGCAGCAGGTTTGGGTTCAGAGAAGGGGTTTTATCCTCCTTTCACAGCCCCCAGTTCCTGTAGGTTCCCCATCCCAGCATGGAGGGTTTTCCCACTGGTCCTTGCCAAGGTGAGATGCACCTGAAGTGGGAATTATGTGTAGCTGTATGGCAGCAGACATATCCAGGCTTGCTCCTAACACCAGGGTCTCAAGGAACCTGTCAGGGGCTTCTCCCACTGCTGTCCAAAATGTTCTGAGGGTCCCTCATTGCCTTTTCCCCCCCTGGCCTGATATTTTCCACACTGTTTGTCGGGTACCCCCTGTGCCCAGCCCCTACGATGCTCAGGCAGAGGCAGTGATGTTTCCCCCCATCTCTCCCCTCCTGCAGCCTGAGGAGAAGCAGAGAGCCTCAGCAGCCTTTGCCCAGCTCCGAGCTGCCATGGGCACTCTGGGAATCACCACGGAGGAGCAGGTGGCTGTCTGGCGCATCCTGGCAGGAATTTACCACCTAGGAGTTGCTGGTGCCTGCAAAGGTAAGAGAGCTCCTGCCTCTCCTTGTCTTACACCTCATCACTGTGCCAGGGGTTGGAGGTGGGGCAAGGAAGTGCATCCTGGTAGCATTTGGTGTGTGGGCACATGGGGCATGGGGAGGTGTGTGGGGATGATGTTCATCCCAAGGCTGTTCCATTTGTGATGGCTCTGAGCTCATCATCACCCATGGAGGAGCTGAGTGATGTGCTGCTGGTGTCCTGCCCTGTGAGAGCTTCTGAAGTAGATCTCTGGCCACACACAGCCAGGACAGTGGCTGCAGGGTGTTGCCTTGTGCCAGCTCCTTGGGAAGGACCCTAATGGGTCACTCGTTCGTTGGCACATTGTTCCCAATGACACCACAAAGGGACAACTTCAGGTAGCACTAATTTTATCACCTCTTGAGTGCCTACCACAGTAACTGAGTTATAACAGGCTGAGTCTGGATGAAGATTGTATTTATAAAGACTTTGTTAATACGGGAGAATAGGAATTGCCTTGTCCCTTATAAATTATTTTAGGATGTGCTCTAACCCATTTTAGAGGCAGCAACATTGATTTACACACTGCAATTTATGAGGGCTGCATAAAGGCTGCTATAAACTAAGCCCCAGACATCTATAAATGCCTCTGCAACTTGTCATAACACATCTTATGGTAATTTATGCCATTAATCATTTATTAATTATTTTAAAAGGATGGTTGTTTTTGTCACTTACAGCAAGTTCTTTTCTCCTCTCTGGTGTTATCTTTTCCCATCTCCATCTCCTAATGCCCTTCCAGCTTCTAAAGATGACCCTGGGGTGGTCTCGGGCTGGTGTGTGTGAGAAGGGTCTTGGCCAAAAGAAATAAAATTCCTTCTGGCTCGTGGGTTTTCAGGAGAGATTTTGGAGATGTGTCTTGTTTTGGGAGTGCCCAGCTCAAGAGCAGGTGGAGGGATGGATGCTGTGTTGGGGGAGCTGAGCTGCTTTGTTCAAACTTGCTGCACATTCTGTCCTGAGCCCCCTGCAAGTCAGTCTGGGAGGGAATTGTGTGCTGTATCCAACACGCAGCACGAACAGGAATGGGAAGAGCAGGTCCAGGCAGGGCTGCAGCTCCCCGGCAGACTCGGGTGTGGGATTAACAACCAGAGCATGTCTCAGAGTCGCTCACGCTGGTATTGATTCCCTCATCGTGTGTCAACAAAAGGGGAGAAATGAAAGGAAATATGGATAAAAAATGGATCAAAGCCGGATGGAGCAAAAGTCTCAGTGGAGGCGGCGACTCTTTTAATGTGGTTAAACCTGTCTCCCGATAGCCATCTCTTCCCTTCCCCTTTCATGCCCTTTGATGTTGTGTATTCTAAACCCTCTCTCCTTGAAATCTCGCCGCGGGGAACCTCAGCGTTGGCTTTTCAGGGGCTTTGAGGAGCGGCACCAGCAGCCTCCACCGTCTCCATCCCGTGTCAAACGGGCTCCGGCGAGGGTGAAAGGCACCTTTCTCCCTTTTCTCCTCACGCATGCAGCTCGTGCAGGACTAAACCAGGAGGGAACAGCATCACCTCTCCTTGGCTGAGAGTGGGAAACACATTTGAGCTAGAAAAACAGGGAGAAAAAAAAGGCTGAATTTCAAAAGCTGCTCTGCTCCATCCCTGTGTCAGCCTTTCGTGCTGCCTTTGAAACGTGTCAGAGAGGCTCTTTTAGTGCCAGAAGCAGCCTGGCAGCCGGAGGCCAGCGGGGCATCCCGGGTCCCATTCACCTAAGTGCTTCAGTGCCTTTGTGGGCTGCGGAATATTCGCTGTTTGCATTCGCTCGCTGCCCCCGTAAGCGGGAGGGAGGGCTGAGGCGCCGCGGGGGTTGAGCTCAGCTCGCTCTCCCGCTGTCCCTTTGGCTGCCTGATCTAAAAGTAAAGCATTGTAGCTCCCTGCAGGCTTCCCACTGCACACCTGGAAGCCAGGTGACTGTGATTCCAGCGGCTGCAGGTCACTGAATCCCTCCAGGTGCTGCCGCAGGTGTGTGCTAGGGTCGGGAGTCAACCCCAAACCTTCCTCAGCACCAGTGCTGTGATCCTGCGGCAAACTCGGCGGGCAGAACCCTTTGGATGGAGGAAAAGCACACAGCAGGAAGGGATTGGAGCCTGCTGCTCGGGTGGAGGGGAGTTTTAGCCCTTCCAAACGCTGGTGGAAGGGGATAGGGACAGTCCCTCTGGGGTTCCTGCTGCTCTCCACACTTCCCAATGAAAGCAAACCCCAAACCCAATGGTGCCCAGGCAGCACATGTGGGTGTGTGAGAGAGGTGAGGCTGGTGCTGACCCTGTGTTTTCCTCCTGCTTCTCTTAAATATTACATGAACCAAAGTAATTCCCTTCAGGTGTTAAAGCCAGCGAGTTTTCCATGGTCACATCACACCCAGGAGGGCTGTGTGATGCTGCTGCTGCTGGTTAGAGTTTATGAAGTGTGAAATGGTGCCTGGGGCTCCCCAGGGATGAGCTGAGCCCCTTGCTTGCTGTGACCAGTGTGGGATGGAAGCTGTGTGAGCCTGGCTGGCACGGCTGTGCCCCCCAGCCCCTCTGCTCCCTGCAGACAGAGATCTTGTGTCTGACAGGAATCAGCCTCTGTCCAGGCAGCTCAGATGAGAACAAGTGGAAACACAACAAATCAAAGCCTGGAGTGTTGAGGCAATTCCTCTGCCTGCTCTAGCACAGGTCTTGATGTTGAAGTCCTTCAGTCAGAAGAAGGAAATACTGGGGAAGGATCAAAGGGGAAGGGAGAGGTGGAGGATGACTCTTGTGGGTGTGCTGTGAAGCAGTTCCCAGTCCTCAGTCCCTGCTTTGTGCATCCTCTCCACCAGGAGTCACCTCCTGCTCTGCATCCCAAACCCTCTCCCCTGCCATGAGCCACCAGCTGTGTTTCAAGGGCCCAGCTTAGCTGTGACCCCCCTGGGCTCCTCATCCATCACCCAGAAGTGCTGCTCTGAGTTCTCTGGGCGACTTTGCTTGGCTGCTTCTGTTTCTGCTCATCCCCTGTGTTCCTGAGCACGTGCTGGTTGTCTGCCTCCACAGCACCTTTCCATTCTGAATTTGTAAAAGGATTAATCCTGCAGATTGCTTCTCTGTTGATTTTAATCACTGAGCTGGAATCGCTGTTGCTGGATGTAAATAACATGTGGAGCTGTTTGCTGCCAGTGCCAACACTGCTCCAGGGCTGACAGGACAGCAAACACTGCTGGGGCTGGGGAAGGTGATCCTGGATTTCCAGGGATTGGTTTGTAATCCCATCAGCTCCATCAACACATCTGATGGTTTGCTCCAGTGAAGCTCTTGAAATACACAGCATTACTGATGCCTGGCTGGAGGCAGCGTGGGCAGGTCGTGTGGTCCACCTGGTCCTCGATTCGCCCTGAATATTTTGACTTTGGGAGTGGGCAGGATGCTTTCTGGAGGTGCTGAGGTACTTGGCTTTGCTGGGGCTGGCCCTGCCTGACCCCCCCATGCCTCCCTGTCCCCTCCCCAGTGGGCAGGAAGCAGTTCATGAAGTTTGAGAGTGCGAGTCGTGCGGCTGAAGTGTTGGGCTGTGACCTGGAGGAGTTCACCACTGCTGTCTTCAAGCACCACCTGAAGCAGATCCTGGCACAGGTGACAGCACGGGGCCACCGGCCAACCCTGGCAGAGGAGAGCCCAGCAGGTACTGGGATGCTGCATCCCTGATTTCTTCATTTCTGGGGGAGATGGAATCACAGGGAGCTGCTCTGGGAGCAGGTGAAGCGTGTGCTGCAAGGAGAGGCAACTGTGCCCTGTTCTTCTCAGGCAGTGAGGTGTGTTAATGTTAATTAAATCACTAACTAATCACATCACTGCCCTCAGTGATGTCCCCCTGCTTAGGGACATACAAAGATAAGGTGAGTTCAGATAAATGATGTGGTTTAAACACTGTGAGAACTCTCCTTAGAAAAAGGGGGAAAACTCACACACTGGGATGGGGGCAGAAGTTGGTGTTGTGCTATGTGCACCACATCTTGCAAGAAGACCTGGACACAGTGAGGGATGGTGCTGCTGAGCCACTATAAACCTCAGCTTAATGTATGGATGCAGTGCAGGAAACCTCAGCTTAATGTATGGATGCAGTTCATTGAAGTAGATCCTGCATGTGCGTGGTGGGAGGGGGAGATATTGCCTGGATTTCAGATCAGCCTTGCCACACTCCTTGAGGTTTGGACTTGATGATCTTGGAGGTCTTTTCCAACCTTGGTGATTCTATGATCCTCAGCAGCAGAATTCCAGCTGGGCCACTGCAAGTCATTGCAATAAAAGCAAGAACCTGCAGAACTGGCCTTGGACATGGCAGGTTTACTTCTCAAATATGTGTTAGGCAGGAGAGGAGCTGAAGGCAGGAGGGGAATGTGCAGGGTTTGTCCCTGGAGAAATGCTGTGGAGCTGTGTGGGTCCTCTTGCCCAGCAATCCAGGGAATCCCAGGGACCAGCTCAGCTTCCTGTGGAAATCAATGACATCTGTGCCTGCTCTTCCCTCCCCCTGTGCCAGGGCCAAAGCTGACGGGTGTGGAGTGTGTGGAGGGCATGGCCTCTGGGCTCTACGAGGAGCTCTTTGCCGCAGTCGTCTCACTGATCAACAGGTACAGAGCTGCCAGGCACTGTGGGTCTGGGGGCTGCTAAGGAGGAATCTTCACTGGGGTCTCTCTCTGGAGAGAGACATGGAGCAGCAGTGTGTGTGCATCCAGGTGTTGCATGGGGTGGCACATGTCCTGCCCTCCTGTGGCATGGTCAGCTTGGTGCGGAGACCTGGCACTGCTGGCACCATTTCTGTTGTCCATGGGTAAATCCCACTGGTGTGTTTGGCTCTTTTTCCCAGGTCCTTCTCCTCCCAGCACCTCTCCATGGCCTCCATCTCTGTGGTGGACACCCCTGGCTTTCACAACCCGCGGCACCAGAGGGCTGAGCGAGCGGCCACCTTCGAAGAGCTCTGCCACAACTACGTGCAGGAGAGGCTGCAGGCTCTGTTCTATGAGAAAACCTTCGTTTTGGAGTTGGAGAGGTACAGAGAGGTGAGGAACAAGGGCTGGGAGCAGTGTTTTGGAGATGGAGGGGTAGAAAGAGGTGAGCAGTGGCCTGGGGAGCACCTTCCCAGCACCTGGGGACAGAGCTGCCTTTGTCCCCACAGATCCCTGTGCCCTGCCGTGGTGTGACTAACTCAGTAGCTATAATGAGAGGGGTGTTGCAGAAATGAAGGGTCTGTAATGGAGCAGTGGCCTTGAGTTGGGTTCCTCTTCCCCTCCTGCCCAGTCCTGGAACCTCTTGGCTCTTTCTGATGTGCCAGAGATGTTAGGCTTCCTTGACATCTTCATGGGAGGTGTCCCTGCCCATGGTGAAACCAGATGATTTTTAAGATCCTTTCCAAACCATTCTGGTATTCTATGATATCCTTGCTCCAGCTCAGGAGGCTTCATGCCCTTCTGTGGGCTCAGCTGACTTTTTCCTTAGGTGATGAATAATAGAGAACAGAAAGGAAAATGATAAATTATTGCCAAAATAAGCTGCTGGGAAACCTACAAGCAGAGATGAACTTATTATTAGGCTTGCAGGAGTTACTGTAACGCCTCCAGCCCTGGGAAAATGCTTGAATTCCCGTGGTTCAATACTCACACATCACTAGAGCTGAGTGAGGATAGATGTGCCCTTCACTGGTGATGAATATGGAGTTGCAGCCAGAGCTGGAAGTGCTGGAGGGCTGGGCAGGCTCCTCTCACTGCCTAAGGATGATGAGAGATATGTCTCTGTGAGCCCCAGGACTGCTCTGAGAGTCTTTTCACTCCCAGTGCTTGGTCACACAGGGGGTGATGGTGACTTGTGCCCTTGGTAGGAATGGAGTGCCCACTGCTGCTTTCTGCTCCACCTGCAGACCCAGATCCCTCAGTAGAACCTCTCTGTGTTGCCTTGGAGAGACACTAAAGCCACAGCTCTTGCTGAACATCCTTGGTTCAGGAATGAGGAAGACCAAGCTGTGCTCCCCCTGCCCCCCCTTGGGAGTTCCTGTTACTCCCAGACATGGTGCTGGGGGTGTTGGGAAGGGGTGAGCCCTGCAGCCCTTGGCTGAGGGAGGGAAACAACAACTGCAAGCTGCAAATTAAATAATTGATTGCTTTCTTGGTGCTCTCTTGCTAAGAAATTAGTATCAATTACAAGATATCAATTATTACCATACCCATGATTTATGGAGCTTGTCTGACACCTCCAAAGCAGCATTCCATGAGGTGTGGTGTTCCCAGCTGCTCTGCCCATGGGGCTGTGCCTCCACATCACAGCAGAGGTGGCTCTGGTGGCTGCTCCACTCCCCTGGTGCTGGATCCCTGCCTTCCTCCCCCTCCATGCCAGTGGAGCTCCTCTTGGCTTCCAGGTGCCAGACCATGACTGAAGCAAGCTTTTAAATGCTGTTTTCCAGGAAAATGTTGAGGTGTCTTTTGATCTTCCAGAGCGCTCTCCGCTGGCCACACTGTCTGTCATCGACCTGAGCTGCTCCCAGGTACCCTGTCCCCATGGCTACAGTGGGAGCTCTGCATCCTCCAGCCCAGAGCAGGTTTTAGAGGCAGAGTGGGATCCTGTGGTGTGTCCCAGAGCAGCCTGGGGTGTTGCAGGGGAGGGCACAGAACCTTTTTAACTATTTAAAGTACAAAGACTCTTCCTGGGCAAGCCCTGCACTCACTCCATCCCCCCTCCCAGCCTGGCTGTGAGCAGGTTGATGGGCTCCTCTGGGACACTGTCACTGCAGAGGGCTCAGGGTGGTGCCCAGAGCTGTTGGAGGCCAGGAGGGTGTTCTGGCTCTGCTCTGGGGATGGGAGCAGGATGGAGAGAGCAGGCTGGTGTGGCTGGGGCTGGGGGCCCTCCTGCCCCTTCCCAGCACCAAACATCTTCTCCTTGGGCAGCCACAGGTCCTGCCTGGCAGCCCTGGGGCTGATCGCCGGGGGCTGCTGTGGATCCTGGACGAGGAGGTGCTGATCCCAGGCTCAGGGGACAGCACTGTCTTCAGCCGTCTCTGCTCCTACTTTGCCACGAAGGGACCCAGCCAGGATGGTAAGTTGTGCTCAGCTTGGCTGTGCAGCCTTTGGCATCACCATTTGGTCTTGGAAATTTAAGGAATGCAGCAAATTCCACATCTCACTGGGCTGTTCTCTGGGGTGATTTTGGGTACTGTTGCTGTCACAGGGGACAGCCCCCTGCGCAGGTGTGAGCAGGCACTGCACTTTGAGATCTCCCACCAGCTGGGCATGGACCCTGTGCGCTACGACCTGACGGGCTGGGTCAGCAAAGCCAAGTTCAACCTCTCAGCCCAGAATGCCATCCAGGTGCTGCAGCACTCCACAGTGTAAGTACCAGCGAGATGCCACAGCACTGGTGGTCATCCCTGTGTCCATGGGAGTGGGTTGGGGGATAACCTTGCCATGAGCTGGGACTGGAGTGGGCAAACCTTCATGCTCAGGGAAGATTTAATGGTGGTGAACACCTCAGTGCCTGGACCAGAGAGGAGTGGAGGGATGTGAGCTGTCCTGACATCCTTTTGCACTCCACAGCTGGGTTCCCTGCAGCAGCACCAATCCCAGTTTGGGGTGTTGAGCGTTGCACAGAAGGGGTTGGGAAGCTGAGGACTCCCAGTCCACTGTGGTCCCACCACCCCATGTCACTTCTCTCCCCGACAGAGCGGCGGTGCGGGAGCTGGTGCTGCCGCGGGCGCGGGCACCGCTGCCCTGCCGAGCCGTGGCAGGGCTGGAGGGACATTCCCAGGCCGCTCTGCACCGCAACAACTGCCTGAGAAAGACCTTTGCCAGCAGCTTTGCAGCTGTGAGGAAGAGGTCGGTGTGTGCTCAGGTCAAGCTGCAGGCGGTGAGTGCTGGAGCTGAGACACTCAGGGCTGTGAGTCAGGGAGTTGTGGCACTGTATATTGTGACCTCAGGCTGAGACTTATCCTTGGACACATTTATTGTGGAGCCCCATGCCCCAGCAGTCACCCACGGGGCAGGGAGTCACCACTGCAGCTGTGTCCTGCCTGGGATGCTGCAGGTGACCATGAGCCTCCCCAGTGCTGCTGTCGCTCAGGGAGAACATCCAGGCAAACAAATCACGTAGCAGATTACACATGCACCTTGCTGTGCCGCTGATTAATCCTCTTAAGCACTCAGACAGTAAACTAGCCCTCGGTGCTGGGCACATGCCAAGTTCCTGCTGCTCTCAGCTGTAATGAGGTGCCCAAACTCTCTCTTGGAGCTGAGGCTCCAGCTCAGCCCATTCTGGGGTCCTGTCTGCCCCTGGCAAACACCCACCCAATGTCTCTGAACCATGATGATCCTTAAGGTCCCTTCCAACCCAAACTATTCTATGAGTCTACAAACCCTGATAAGTTTTTGTGTCCCATAGTCTGAAAATGTGGGACATTTGGAAGAAGGGTCTCACTCAGCAGCTGTGACCTTCACCTAGGGTTCCCCTCTCTGACTGGAGCTGTTCCTAACATGCACC